CCTCTCGTCTGAGGGACATATCAGTGACCTTGACGTTGCCTTTAGACTACAGTTGCATTAGCCTCTGGCGTATCGGCTTTTTCAGAGTCATTTATGAGCAGAAAAAAAAAAAAGTAAAACTTTGCTAATATTAACCCTTCTTTAGCTCCTCGAGGGTCTGTGACCTGCATCACAAGGGGTCGGGGGGTTAGGAAAGGGCTGGGGAAGACCTAGCATTTTGTTTTTCTCTCTCTTTTTTTTTTTTTTTTTTTTTTGAGACGGTGTCTCCTTCTGTCACCCAGGCTGGAGTGCAGTGGCATGATCTCAGCTCAGAGCAACCTCCGCCTCTCGGATTCACGCGATTCTCCTGCCTCAGCCTCCCGGGTAGCTGGGACTAAAGGTGCCCGCCACCACACCCAGCTAGTTTTTGTATTTTTAGTAGAGACAGAGTTTTGCCATGTTAGCCAGGCTGGGCTCGAACTCCTGACTCCAAGTGATCCACTCACCTCAGCATCCCAAAGTGCTGGGATTACAGGCGTGAGCCACTGCGCCCAGCTCTGGCATTTATTTATTTATTTATTTATTTTTTTTGAGACGGAGTCTCTTCGCTCTGTCGCCCAGGCTGGAGTGCGGTGGCACAATCTCAGCTCACTGCAAGCTCTGCCTCCCAGGTTGAAGCCATTCTCCTGCCTCAGCCTCCCGAGTAGCTGGGACCATAGGTGCCTGCAACCATGCCCGGCTAATTTTTTGTATTTTTAGTAGAGACGGGTTTCACCGTGTTAGCCAGGATGGTCTCGATCTCTTGACCTCGTGATCCGCCTGCTTCGGCCTCCCAAAGCGCTGGGATTACAGGCATGAGCCACCGCGCCCGGCCAGGGATTTATTTTTGATGTATCTTTGTGATAGAAAATTTGGAAAGTGCAGAGAAATATACACAGGAAGAAAAATTCCCAATCCCCAGAACCAAACCAGCTGGAACCAAGCAACCCTAGTCACCCCAATCCACTGCTAGGCTGCTGCCTCCCGTCAAGATCAGATGAGTCTCGAGGCTCAGGGAAGTCAGAGGATGCCATCTGCATGGTGGTAAATTACAGAGGTGATGAGGCAAAGTGGGTGTGGGGCTGTTCATAAAATGGGGTAGCAGGAAGGCCCCAAGGAGATGGATTTGGGCTGGGATGGGAAGAGAGAGCTGGCCCTGCCGGGGTGGGTGGGTGTTCAAGTGGTGGAAACAGCAGGTGCAAAGGCCCTGCCATTGGAACCAGCTTGTGGAATAAACTTTCAGAAACAGATCAAAGAAGGTGGGTGGCTGGAGGAGGCAGTGATGACGAGGCTGGAGAGGGAGGCAGGGCTAGGCTGGTGCTTTGAAGACTTGCTGAGTGGCCCCAGGAGCACAGCGAGGTCAGTATGGCTGGAGGGGAGTGGGGGAGAAGAGGGGACGGGGCAGGTTCACAGGAAGGAGGACCCAAGACCAACCCCAGGGACTAGGAAAGCCCTGTCTCCTCTCACCTCTCATTTTCCATTCTGTCTCTGGCCACCTCACTACCTACAGGAGCAGGAAAAGGAATCTCAGACCCAAAATGGCCTTTTCCACACTGTGGCCGGGGACTGTGCTAGCAATGGACACACATTAGGTCTCATCCTCATTTCTGTCCCTGTCTGAGGCTGAAAGGCACAGGATTTGAACACAGGCCTGCCTGAGCCCACAAGAGGCTGCCTCCGGGACCTGGGAAAAGGGGATGAATTGGACCTGATTCCTACCCCCTGCAGGTCTATTTCCTCATTCAGAAAACGGGAGAGGGCTTTATGGCGGCTATTGTCCATTCAGACTCAACACCTTTATTTATTATTTTTGAGACGAAGTCTCGCTCTGTCTCCCAGGCTGGAGTGCAGTGACACAATCTCGGCTCCCTGCAACCTCTGCCTCCCGAGTTCAAGTGATTCTCTTGCCTCAGTCTCCGGAATACCTGGGATTACAGGTGTGCACCACCACACCAGCTAATTTTTTGTAGTTTTAGTAGAGACGGGGTTTCACCATATTGGTCAGGCTGGTCTGAAACTCCTGACCTCAGGTGACCCACCTGCCTCGGCCTCCCAAAGTGCTGGGATCACAGGCATGAGCCACTGCACCTGGACAACACCTTTAAAATAACAGTTGTAACAGGTCCTTTACACTCCAGAATTCACAGGCAGTGTCACCTACCTATGCGAAGAATTTAAAAATCAACACAGCTCCAAATGAGTTATAAAAGAGCAAGAAAGGAGACTGGGTGCGGTGGCTCACACCTGTAATCCCAGCACTTTGGGAGGCCGAAGCGGGTGGATCACCTGAGGTCAGGAGTTCGAGACCAGCATGGTGAAACCCCATCTCTACTAAAAATACAAAAATTAGCAGGGCTTGGTGACCTGTGCCTGTAATCCCAGCTACTGGGGGTGCTGAGGCAGGAGGATCGCTTGAACGTGGGAGACTAAGCTTGCAGTGAGCCAAGATCAAGCCACTGCACTCCAGCCTGGGCAACAGAGTGAGACACTAAAAAAAAAAAAGACTGGTGAAACAGACTCTTTCTGCACGCAAACGCTGCGCCGGTCCCGGGGATACATGGGGCAGGAGCAGAATCCCCGGAGTCGCGGCCGCAGACGCTGCCAGGCTCTACCGACTGGGGCGCGGCTTCCCGGGCGGGACCGAATTCCTTCCGCTGCGGCGCAGCTGCTCTGCTAGAAACTCCGTTTGTTCTCACTGAGCAAAAAGTTCTGCGAGTCCACAAAAGACAGGGAGTGGGGCCCTGGCTGGGAGATCCGCAAGGGGCTTCACTCTGGGGATGCCCCGGGACGTTGGGAGGGCCAGAGCCCCACCAGTCCCCACCCCCACGTGCCCGCCATCCCTGTCTTTGGGACCAAACGTCCAAACAAAGCTCTGAAATGCCCCGGGGGAGGGGCCATCCCAGACTTAGATTACATGTTTATGATCAGTTGTGCTGACTTAAAAAAAAAAAAAAAGTCGGCCCGGCGCGGTGGCTCACGCCTGTTATCTTAGCACTTTGGGAGGCCGAGGCGGGCAGATCGCCTGAGGTCAGAAGTTCGAGACCAGCCTGGTCAACATGGTGAAACCCCCGTCTGCACTAAAAATACAAAAATTAGCCAGGCGTGGTGGCACGCGCCTGTAATCCCAGCTCCTCGGGAGGCTGAGATAGGAGAATCGCTTGAAGCCGGGAGGCGGAGGCTGCAGTGAGCTGAGATCATGCCATTGCACTCCAGCCTGGGCAACAGAGCGAAACTCCATCTCAAAAATAAAAACAAAAATAAAATCGTCCTCCACATCTGCCCTACACTGCCCAGCTGACCCTACTGGCCGGCCTGTCCTCTGCTCGCGCGTTCCTCCTGGCACGCCTGGAAGGGAGGAAAGGCTTAATGGTCCCGTTTTATGGGTGAGGAAAAGAGGCCTGGGAAGGAGCCCGGAGTGGTGGGGTGAGCCTGTAGTCCCAACTACTCGGGAGGCTGAGGCAGAAGGATTGTACGATCGCTCTTACCCTCTTTCTTTCTTTCTTTTTTGAAATGGAGTCTTGCTGTGTTGCCCAGGCTGGAGTGCAATGGCGCGATGTCGGCTCACTGCAACCTCCGCCTCCCGAGTTCCAGTGATTCTTCTGCCTTAGTCTCCTGAGTAGGTGGGATTTCAGGCCGTGCCACCACACCTGGCTTTTAAAAAAATTTTTTTTTAAATTTTTTTTTTTAAATTTCAGTAGAGACGGAGTTTCTCCGTGTTGGCCAGGCTGGTCTCGATCTTCTGACCTCAGGTGATCCACCCGCTTCGGCCTCCCAAAGTGCTGGGATTACAGGCGTGAGCCACCGTCACTGGCCTCTTACCCACTTTCTGTACGGAGCTCCTGATGCCTGATGGCCAAGAGGACTTAACCCCATCTGTTCTAAGGGCATGGAGTGTATTTTTAGAGTGATTGGACAAATATGTGCCGAACACCTACCTCATGCCTGGCGCATGCTGGAGGCTGGGGTTGTATCAATGCAAAAGTCATTCCCTGTATTTAACACGTAAATGAATTAGTCTCTTTAACTCTCCCAACGCCCTATAAATTATTTGCTCCATAATACATATTAGGAAGACAGAGGCAGAGAGATGAAGTGCTTTGCTCGTGACGGTCACGCCGCCACCGGGACGCGAGCCAGGCAGTCGTCCGGCTCTCACCCCCAAGAGCACTACATTATAAGGTCGCAAAGTGAAGACACGCTGTTGTTAACTGAGCTGCTGTGTGAGACCGGGGCCGGATGTATCTTTCTGAAGCACAGAGAAGCGGTTATACAGGGAAGTTTGAGAGAGCTGGGTTAAGTCCGCATGTATGGAAATTGCCAGTTTCGTGGGTCACAACGTCAATATTGTGGGCAGCCTTGGACTGGCTCAATGCGCAGTTGGGGACAGCGGTGAAGTGCAGAGCGATGAAGTGCAGAGACTCCCTATGAACTGGCGGCGTGGGCGGGGGGAAGAAAACAGGAAGGAGAATGCACCCACCGTGCGCCAGAAACAAACAGAAATTGCGCCACCCCGCGCCCAGTCTGCTTTTCAGATGTAAAGGGATCGGGCAGATCGCAACTCCCAGGCATCCCGCAAAGTAGGCGGGTCACCTTAGGGGCGACCTTTACCCGCTCAAAAATTCGTCTCACATTAGCAGTGAGGATTCGGGCGTCACCCCGAATCGTTATTTTCCTTACTCATAAGTTTAAGGCATAAAGAAACAGTACGCCTTATTTCCTAGGTAATGAATCGTATTCTCATTTGGCGTATGATGAGTATCATAGTGGACTGTTGAGGTAATGATCCACTTCCACTGAAGTTTGTCTTACTTGTTAATGAAATCATTTTGTTGCTTTTCATTTAATGTTTTTTCGTCGGGGAGAATAAATAATTCATAATGTGCCGACCTTCTGTATGCAGATGAGCAGCCAGCTCCGCGAAGGCTCACGGGGAGCGTCCCCGCCCCTTCCGGTTCTTGCTTGCGTTTAGCTGGCTGTCGCGAGAGTTGGTCGGCGGACGCCGGAAGTAGTTCGTCGCTCTGTAGCGGCCGAAGGGGCGGGCTCGCGGGCTGGGGGTGTCTCGGCAGCTTTCGGCTCGCTCGGTGGAGCAAGATGGCGGACATCTCCCTGGACGAACTCATCAGGAAGCGCGGGGCGGCGGCGAAAGGACGGTGAGAGACCTTTCTTTTCTTCGGGGTTTCGGGTCCGCGACATAGTGGAGCTCGAGGCGGGGGAGGGAGCGGCCCGGGCGCGACGCGGAGGACCGGGTGCGCCCGCCCCCAACAGCAGCCGCGCTCCTCATTGGCCGGGCCGCCGCCGTCGCCGCAGCGGCCCCGACCGCCCGCCCACTGGCCGAGGCGCAGTCCCTCCGGCGGGCCTGGGAGGCCGACGGGGCCGCGGCGGGACAGGGTGCCGCCTCGTGGACCTGAGGGGCTGCCCCCTGGGGCCCCCGCGTTCCGGGGTCCGGGAGTCTCGGCGGTGCAGCCCCCTCGCCTGTCTGAACTGGCATTTGGGCCCCGCTCCGTGATCTCGGGGCTGCCTGGTCTTCACCTATCTTATAGTTGAGACAACCGAAGTTTAGCAGCAGGGAAGTGACTTGCTCCGACGGCCGAAGCTGAGGCGCAAGCCCAAATCCCCCTCCACGCGGCCTCTGTTAACACTCGTCTCCCTTTGTGCGGCGTCTTAAGTTTTCTAAGCCCGTTCATATAAACGATGCTTCGTTTGATCTTTTATGGTCCTGTTGTCTGCTAGCAATTCATGTTACTCCTCTTTTACTGATGGGGAACTTGAGGCTGGGAGTGGTAGAGTGACTTGCCCAAGACCACGGAGAACTGAGCGGCGGGGCTGAGTGCGATTTAATTGCTGGCTGAGTTGGCCTCCTGCATGGGCTTGAAAAACAAGTGGGCTGGGCTGGAGATTGGTTATTTCCTTAGGGAGAAGAAAGTGCTTGAGCTGGGTGAGGAGCCATGGAGGTGATTTGCAGTCATGTCTCCCAAACTTCCCCATGACCGTTAAATGTTATTAGTCATTTCACGTCTTTGTGAGCTGAGTTCACCTGTATGAAGAAGTGAGAACTTTGCCCAGTGGTTTCCCAACACGCATTAAGTTTAAATGTCTTTGTAAATAGCCAGGATGTAAATATGTTAGATAACTGTTTTCTCAGACATACGCTTTCTCAGCAGATGTTTATTTTTATTTATTTTTTGAGACGGAGTTTTGCTCCGTCGCCCAGGCTGGAGTGCAGTGGTGCGGTCTCGGCTCACTGCAACCTCCGCCTCCCCGGTTCCAGCGATTCTCCTGCCTCAGCCTCCCGAGTAACTGAGACTACAGGTGTGCACCACCACGCCTGGCTAATTTTTGTATTTTTAGTAGAGACGGAGGTTTCACTATGTTGGTCATGCTGGTTTCGAACTCCTGACCTCATGTGATCTACCCGCCTCGGCCTCCTAAAGTGCTGGGATTACAGGCGTGAGCCACAGGCCCGGCCATTCAGCAGATGTTTATTCATATCACCCGTGTGCCTGTGGCTAGGTTTTTCTCTTGATGTCTGAAATGTATCCCTCACCTCCTTCCCCATCCTGGACACTTGTATCAACTACAATTGCCACCACCACCTGGTAATTCGCAGCCAGCACTTACCGGGCTTCTGGTTCATAACGGGCATGCATTAGTATTTGTTTCCTCAACTACTGACTGTGAAAGCTCTCTCACATCTCCGCCTAGTGTCTGATGTGAAGTTGGCGCTGGCTCCTCTGACCACTTCTAAATCCATCCAAGTTTTGTATGTTCCTTTGGAAACGACAGAATTATCGACACCAGGTTCTTCTCTCTCTGAGGTCACTCCTCCAGTTTCTGACTACAGGTGGATCGCACTGTAGTCTGACTAATTTGATCTGTACGGTTTTGGCTTTAGTGTGTGCAGAGTTTTGTGTTGGGCAGTAGGTGGGGCTGCAGGAATGGGGTGGGGGCTATGTGTGGATCCACAGGAACAGGGGCCTTGCAGTTGGATACACCTGGCACCTGCAACAGTTGGGTTCTGTTTCCCTGGCCAGGGGACTTCTAAACTAGGCAGTTTCCTCATTTGTAATGGTGATTCCTGGTTGAGGGGATTAAATGTGAGAAGGGTTTTTTTGGGTTTTTTTGGTTTTTTGTTTGAGACGGAGTTTCGCTCTGTCACCTGGGCTGGAGTGCAGTGGCCGGATCTCAGCTCACTGCAAGCTCCGCCTCCCGGGTTTTCGCCATTCTCCTGCCTCAGCCTCCTGAGTAGCTGGGACTACAGGCGCCGGCCACCTTGCCTGGCTAGTTTTTTGTATTTTTTAGGAGAGACGGGGTTTCACCGTGTTAGCCAGGATGGTCTCGATCTCCTGACCTCGTGATCTGCCTGTCTCGGCCTCCCAAAGTGCTGGGATTACAGGCTTGAGCCTCTGCACCCGGCCGGGTTTTTTTTGTTTTTGTTTTGAGACGGAGTCTCACTGTATTGTCCAGGTTGGAGTGCAGTGGCACAGCCTTGGCACGCTGCAACCTCTGCCTTCCGGGTTTAAGCGATTCTCCTGCCTCAGCCTCCCAAGTAGCTGGGATTACAGGTGCCTGACACCACACCTGTCTAATTTTTGTATTTTAAGTAGAGATGGGGTTTCACCATGTTGGCCAGGCTGGTCTGGAACTCCTCACCTCAGGTGATCCACCCCCCTCGGCCTCCCAAAGTCCTGGGATTACAGGCATGAGCCACCACGCCCCGCCAGAAGGTATGTTTTAAAGTTTGTGCCATGTGGCAAGCGTTCAGCAAAGGCTGGTAATTATCTTGCACCTTTCCTTAAAGGAATAGGAGCACACACTGCCCCTGGAGCATAGGTGAGCACTGGGACTCTAGAGTCAGACCGTCAGGGTTCCAATCCCCGCTTCTCCCACTTTCTGTAGAACTCTCTGCAAGTTACTTAACCATGCCTTGCCTCTCTCTCCTTATCTATAAAACATGAGTAATATCACTTTATTAGGTTATTGTCAGGACCGAGTGAATTAATATACCTAAAATGCATTGAAAAGTTTCTGACAACGGGCACTTAAGTGCTTGATAGGTGTTAGTTTTCATTATTGTCATTGAAGGCTTCTTAAGGAGTAACGTGATTCAATTTTTAGCACGAGAATATTGCTTTGTCATTATGTGAGGATTGGATTGGGCCAAAGAGTACAGGCAGAGAGACTAGTGTAGAAGAACCTGGAGTGCATGCTGGGTTTGAGTTAAATCTTCTGGAAACTCCATTTTTATCTCACTTGCACAGCCAACAAAGAAAAACTAGATCCAGGGGTCCCTGTTAAGATAATGTGAAGGATCTGAACAAATTCAATGAACAGATGTCATTTCCTGCAGTAAGTTTATTTTTATTTTATGTCTTTATATTTTTTGAGTTGGAGCCTCGCTCTGTTGCCCAGGCTGGAGTGCAGTAGCATGATCTCAGCTCACTGCAACCTCTGGCTTCCGGGTTCAAGCGATTCTCCTGCCTCAGCCTCCCAAGTAGCTGGGACCATAGGCATGCACCACCACGCCTGGTTAATTTTTTGTATTTTTAGTAGAGACGAGGTTTCACCATGTTGGTCACGCTGGTCTTAAATTCCTGATCTCAAATGATCCACCCCCCTCAGCCTCCCAAAGTGCTGGGATTACAGGTGTGAGCCAGTGCGCCCGGCCATATATTCTGTTTTACATACTGCCTAGAAGAAATCTGTGTACTTGGAACTGTGGTTTTAATGTTGCATGGATGTTCCAGGAAGAATTTTGTTGTTTAAGAAAGCTTTTTTCCTCTTGGTAGAAATAGCCAAAGATCCAGCTTGAGGAAGTGTAAATAATCTCTTTCCCCACCACTCTGCTCACTTTGTTTCCTGTGATCCCAAGGATCACATTTGTGGAATGTGCTTGTTCTCAAAAGCAGCCGTTCTGTTTTGTGTTCTTCACACCTTTTGAGTCAAGAAAAGGGTCATAGCTGGATGCAGTGGTGGCTCGTGCCTGTAACTGCCGCTGTGAGGGAGGCTAAGGCAGGAGGATTGCCTAAGCCCAGGAGTTCAAGGCTGCAGTGACCCATGCTTGCACCACTGCACCCCAGCCTGGTTGACAGAGCAAGACCTCATCTCTTTAAAAAAGAAAGAAAAGAGTCATTACCATTATTATTACCTAGGCCTCCAATTAATTATTAAAAGATTCCTTGACTAATGGGAAATGATTGAACCGGAAAGAGGTGGTTTTGAGTGATACCTTCTTCCATGGTGAGATGCTGTCTTTCCTTATCACAGCACATCTCCAGTGACTTTAGTTGTGAAAGATCCGTAGAGAGTCTCCTCAGGATAGCATTAGGCACCAGTTGCAGTGCTGGCCTGCCCCTCATGTTGGTTTCTTCCTTTATTTATTTGAGACAGGGTCTTGCTCTGTTGTCCAGGCTGGAGTGCAGTGGCAAGATCACAGCTCACTGCAACCTCTGCCTCCTGGGCTTAAGCATTCTTCCTGCCTCAGCCTACCAAGTAACTGGGACCACAGGCATATGCTATCATGCCTGGCTAATTACTTTTGTTTTTTCTGTAGAGACGAGGTCTCGCCATGTTGCCCGGGCTGGTTTCGAACTGCTGGACTCAAGCAGTCCTCCTGCCTCTACCTCACAGAGTGCTGGGATTACAGGCGTGAGCCACTGTGCCCAGCAGTTTCTTCCTTTAGATATGAGGGCATCCCCAGTTAAGTCAGTTGACACGTCCCCTCTTGTTAGTTTGATGAGTTTAACCCTCAGTGAATAGCTTGCTATCTGCTGCCTCCAAGCAGTTCAGTGTGGCAGCCTTGAGTGTGCTGGAGGCTAGAGTTAAGCAGCTCTCTGGGCCAGATATCTCATCTGGGGAGTCCTTGGAGCTGGAAGTGGGAGGTTGTTGGGGGACAGGGTGGATTGTAAACTTTGCAGTTCAGCTCAGGACTCTGATCCTGGTGCTGACCGCTTGTTTCCTTGTTGAAATAAGATAAAGGAAATATAAACCTAAACACAAAAGGGAGGAAATGGGTTATTACATAAGTCTAGGCAAAGAATTATGTTTTAAAATGAAACATCTGCACAAGACTCTTGGGTAAGGGGATAGTATTTTATTTTATTTTATTTATTTTTGAGACGGAGTTTTGCTCTTGCTGCCCAGGCTGGAGTAC